GGAGGACACGAGGAGCAAACGAAGGAAAGCAGGCAGAGAACTTATTTACACACAAGTCTGTGGTGAAAACACAGCAGCAGGTCAACACAATCACACAGGAAGGAAAACCAGACAAGAGACAAACAGAAAATACATTTCAAAATAAAACAGGAAACGGCAGAACACCAGGATCACAACACTAGTCTCACTCAAAGTGTTTTAATGACGTGTGTTGGTCTCAAGCACATTTCATGCCGGGTACATTATTCGTTAATTAGTTCTGCAGTTATTGTTATGTTTTTTTAAATATAAATGGTGTATGTTATGTTTCATATCTTTTTCTGTTAAACGTAAGTGTGAGAAAATGTAGTGGTGTAAGGATTACTTTCCTTCAAACTGTAGTGGAGTAGAAGTAGAAAGTAGCATACAATGAAAATTAAAAAACCACAGTGATTGAGTAAATGTACTTAGTTACATATCACCACTGAGTTTTTGTTATGTATATCTGTTATGTTGCAAACAATTGACCATTACAACACATTCTCAAACTTCAATATGCAGTCAAATAGAGTGAGAAGCTCTCAATCTACAATACCATAATACATAACGACTGTCAGCAGAGGATTGGGCTTTCGTGTGAAGTTATTCATCCAGATATCCGCTGACCGATATCAGAACGAGCATCGCACGCCGCTAAACCCTCCTCTGCTCCCAGAATGAATAAAAAGAGGGGTTGAACATGTTACTTCCCTTCCCTTTCACTCCCACCAGATATAAAGGGAGGTTAATAGGAGTGGGAGGCTACGGGGGGGGGCGTGGGAGGTGAGCGGGGGCTTTCCATGTTTCTCAAAGTGGAAATTATTCATCGCTATTCCTGCTGGGTCTAAAACTTTAATGTCGCCAAGAAAAGTGGCTTTACATGCAAATGTGGGTGTTTTTTTTTCTTCCATTTGCCTCTAAAAGCTATAAGAACAAGGCATCCCCCCCCCGCCCACACGCGCGCACACACACACACACACACACACACACACACACACACACACACACACACACACACACACACACACACACACACACACACACACACACACACACACACACACCACACCACACACACCACACACACACACACACACACACACACACACACACACACACACACACACACACACACACACACACACACACACACACACACACACACACACACACACACACACACACACACACACACACACACACACACACACACACACACACACACACACACACACACACACACACACACACACACACACACACACACACTGGCCAGGCTGGTTCCACATGACTTCCTGTGCTCCGCTATAAATAGATCCATTTACATTGCATTTCATGGCTGAGCTCTCTCTCAATATTTCAGAAGCCCACCAGTAAATTGATCATTAATCATTTATTGCTCACTTATTCTTCTCATTTTGCACATAGCTTGTTTGGTTAGTTACAAAGCATATGCAACAAAACAATCTGTATTTTTGATCCGTGTATTCTGTATTTTCTATCTTGGTTTGTGATGAGTTTTCCCGCTTCAGTACGTTGGCAGTGTTGGAAAAGGTAACCAGAGTCAACGTAAAGGTACATTTAGCAGGGTGGTTCTTGTTCTTGTGTTGTATTATTATAAATATTATACTAGCTGTTCTTATCACTAACAACAAATATGAGTTTTTAATAGTCTGATTTGTCGATGTGAAGCACATTTTGTATACTATGTGTACCAGTGTACTGTAGGAAAAAGTACTCAGACCTTTTACTTTGGTAAACGTATAATATCACAGTCTAAAAAAACTCCAATACAAGTAAAAGTCGACCCTTCAATAGTCTTTTATTGTCAGTTTTATTTCTATTTGGAAATGTTAACATTGTTTATTTCTACTCTTTCATTTCTACTTACAGTATGTGCAATGCCTTGTTTTGTTTTGTATGCTGCTGCAACGCAAACATTTCCCAATTTGGCATCACTAAAGTATATCCTATCTTATCTTATTCAAAACATTTTTTACTTAGGTTAAAGGGGACCTATCATGCAAAATGCACTTTTGTACGTCTTTTATACATGAATATGTGTCCCCGGTGTTCCAGGGAACTCACCAAGTGTCAGAAAACACAACCCTCTCTATTTTCCTCCATACCCAAATCTCTAAAAAAGGGGCTGCAACGGATCTGATAAAAACTGATCCAGATTTGAACACTGTCCTGACGTCAGGACAGTGGCGCTACGGCTATTGGGCCAACTCCACCAATCAGGAGGAGACAGCCACGGCCATTGCCGTTCGAAAGCGCTGGAGACGCTGTAGTACATATGTCAGGCCAGTAGATGGTGCTGTTCTCACAGAATCTGCCCTTGAGCTAGAAATTGTCAAATTGAGCAAAATGAGGCATGGCTAAAATGCATGATCTGTTTGGTATTTTGAAAAAAAAAAGTATAAATATGCCTTATATAGGTATGGTCCTACACTATATTATTCAAATATAGCATGATAGG